CCTCCCCAGGCCCAGGGAGCCCACTATGGGCTCTTCATAGCGGCGCAGGCGGCTCCCACCTTCCGGCGACGGGGGTCATCGCTGAACTGGCCTCCCGACCCGTCGCCGAAGAGGGTGAGAGTTCCATCGCCGTTGGCGCAGTCCTCCCAGTCCCGCCCAACCCAGCTCCACCTGCCGCCCCCGCCCAAAGCAGCGAAGACAGGGCGCGCGTCTGCGCTCGCAGGCAGGCCGCGGAGCCAGTAGGCAAGAAAAGCATCAGCCCCAGCAGTGGCTGGGGGAAGGAGGACGTCAGAATCGGTGCAGTCCTCGTGGTCGCGGTTGCTCGGGCACGACCAGATCCTGTGCGTGGGCGTCTCGTCGGGGGTCCCGCAGCGAGGGCGTGTCTTGCGCGCCTGGTACCCAGCCTCCACGAGACGCTCCCTGGGCCATTGCGCCCCCGCGACCACGCAGAGGTTGAAGGCCCGAGCTGGCCCTTCTTGGTGAACTTCCCCATCTCGTGCGCGATGATGTGGGCGTCTGGACCTCCGCGCTGCAGTCCTTCTCCGCGTGGATGTTTGGCTGCGTCCTTCCACGGGCCCTTCTTGATGGACGGGCAGAACTCGTGGATGAACTCTGCAGGGTCCGCGCCATGCTTCCCGTCCTCCCAATCTGGTTGGCCGCTGTGCGGTGGGAGCAAGTATTGAAGAAGAGCGCGTAGCAGACCGATTCGTAGAACTTCCGTGCGGAGCGCGGCAAAGGCTACGCCGAACGCCGCTGCCGTCTCGTCGAGGAGGGCCCTGACGAGCGCGGCCTTGAGCGCGCTGGGGCCCTTGATGGCGGTGTCCCAGAACTCCGCCAACTCCTTGGGCCACTCGTCCGTGATGGTGGATCGTGTCTTGGCCCATGTCTTCGGGATCGTAAGGAGCATGCCCTACATCCTCTCCCCGCCAGCGGGCTTGGGGGCCATCGCTCCGACAGTGGCGCATAGCTGCTGCGGCCACGGGCCGCTCTGCTCCACCGCGTTATATGCCTTGGCGAGCTCCTGGATGCCCTGTTGAGAGAGTCTCTGGATGTCGACGGGGCCAATGTTGCCGACCCCCTCGACTTCTTGGGGTTGGCGATGCAAGCGACGGCCTGGATGCGCTGCGGCTCGATGATCGGGATGGGGTCCTCCTTCGCGAGCTTGGTGGCCCTCTCGTATGCGTAAATGATCTGCTTCTCGTTGTAGGGGATAGTGGTCGGACTTACAGATGTCGCGCCACGTGTCCGCAGCCGCGTTCATGGCCAGGCATGGGTCGCCGACGGTGGTGCGACCCATCGTCCTCCAAGCGCTGCGTCCTGGGGTCCGCGACGGTCCAGTGGAGCTTTCCAGGAGAGCCCTTCCAAGCTTGCTTCGACCAACCAAGGTATCTATTCCGAGCTCTGACCGCTGCCCTGGCCATGGCCGTGCGCGTCGACGTCGTGGTGGTGGCGCAGAGGTAGTGGAGGTCGTCCTCGTCGCAGAACTCGAGGGTGGAGATCTGGGTCTACCACTCGTCGATCTCCTGCGGATCCGTCTCAGTGCCGAAGTGGTTATTCTGGAACTCTAGGTTGTCCGGATCGTCGAGCTTCTTGAGAATGATCATGTGGATATGCTGGCGTGCCTTGGGGTCTTTCGCGTTCTTGACCAACGCCGTGTACCTCAGGATGAGCGTGCTGAAGTGCTGCCACCAAGTAGCCTCAGGGTCCTTCAGGTACGCTCTCCCCAGCGATGCCCTCATTATCCGCTTGGCGGTCCTGTAGCCCTCGGCTCTGCCCTGGTACATGGCCCTCTCGTCGGCGGGGGCGCGGTGTGTCTCCAGGAAGGCTATCTCCAAGGTCGCGATCCGCTGGGCGTGTGTTGAGTTGATCTGCGCTGCGGCACTCTACGTGTGGCAATGGAAGACGTGCCCCCTGCCCTCCTTGGTGCCGGCGCGGTTGCCCTCGAACCTCGGGTAGTTCCGCGCCTCGTCAGCGGCCTTGTCCCAATCGCCTTCTGGAATGATGAAAGACGTGGGGTCCTCCTTGGACGCGTCCGCGCAGTTGCTGTGGAGGGCGTCGAACTCGTCGCGCAGGTGCCTTGGCGGCGTGGGCCATCAGCTTTGCCCTTGCGGCGGTCGCGACGAGGTTGGCGGCGGCCCTTCGATCTTCTTCGGAGGGTTCGGCGTCGGCGGGAGCAGCGCGTGCAGCAGGCTGTTGTGGCGCAGCTGGCGCAGCGGGCGATGCTGCAGGTTGGCCCACTGGGCCTTGTCCCCCATGCTGGGCAGGAGGGTGTTGGGGAAGGTCCTATGCCCCTGCGGGTGGGGCGCGGTCCATGGGAGATGGCCGAGGGTCGGTCGCCACCGTGCTCGGCCTCTTGCGCTTGGCGGGGCTGGTGCTCGACTCCTTGGCTTGTCGTAGTAGCTCTCGGATGTGTTCCTATCCGTCGTTGAGGGCTAGGACTCGGTGGGCGAGCTCGGACTTCCCCTGCTCCATCTGGTATTGGTGACGTCGTCGTAGACGCTGAGGTCGCCCCGCTTCGTGCTGTCGGTCTTGGAGATGACCTGGGGGCCCGGGGCGGTGGCCCCACGTGCAGCGACTCCAGCAAGTTTGGCGCTGTGCTCTGCCTGAGCCTTGGCGCTGGCGTCCTGAGCTTGAACGAGGTCGAGTGCGGCTTGCTCCTGTCTGGCCATGGCGTCGTCGTGCTACTGTTTTGCCTCCTCGACGTCGTCAACCGCCTGCTGGAATTTCCTCTCCCTGTCGGTGAGGGCGGAGAGCGCCGACTGGAGTGCCTGCTCGGCTGAGCGGGCTGGCGACTGCTTCTCTGGTTGCTGGAAAGCGTCCTTGATGTTGCCGACGAGTTCGGCGCGCTTCGCGTCGGTGAGGAGGGTCTCGAGCGCCTCGAAGATAGCGCCGTTGCCGGGGACGGCATGCAGCTGTGTATCCCTCCGCGGCGGTGGCTTGCCATTGCCTGCCCGAGTTCCTGTCGGCTGACGAAGCTAAGCTGGTGATGGGGCCAAGGCCTTGCCGCGCATGAGGCACTCGGGCTTCCCCTTCCACGTCCATCTGCAGCGGCGCTGCTTGCAAATGGTGCGCTGGCGATGGGCTCGCCCACGTGCGCCTCGCGAGCCATCTGCGCGCCCGCGCGGTCTCTGGCTGCCGTCGTTTGCAGCGCCAGCGCCTCTGTCCGCAGCAGCGGCACCGCCCCGAGTGTCGGCCATCGCACGACTGCGCCCCGAGGAGCTCTCGCGAGCGGCGCGCGGGAGGGATGTGAAATGGGCGGCAGCTCGCCCGTGAGCGTGGCTGCGGATATGAAGATCGCTGAAAGCTGTGGGGGCCTACCCCAGACGAGCAATGGGAGGATCACCATTTTGGCCTTGAGCCAAAATGGCTACGGGGAGGAGGAGGAGGAAGAGGAGGAGGCGGCGGACGAGGAAAAAGAGGGGGATGAAGAGGAGGAGGAGGAGGAGGAGGAGGAGGAGGAGGAGGAGGAGGAGGAGGAGGAGGAGGAGGAGGAGGAGGAGGAGAAACAGGAATAGGAGGAGGAGGAGGAGGAGGAGGACGAGGAGGAGGAAGGCGATTGTTTTTTGACATCAACGGCGTTGCCTCCATATCCTGGCAGAGAAGGACAGGCGACCTGTAGCAGAGGGACATGCAGACTGCGCCGAGTGGCAAAACTAGACGGCAAACGCTGCCTCTACACGCTCCTGCTAGGCACGGCCAACATGAAACACACAGACGACAAAGCAACGCCAACGGCCCAGGGCCATGCCCCCGTGGCGCGCTAAGTGCGCGAAGCACGGCACGCAAGGAGACCGTGCTCCGCGCGCCCTGTTCGGGGTAGGGGGCGCCGGAGTCCGTGCTCCGACGCTCAACCTACCCGCCACCCACTCCATGGGTGGCCGTTGGCGACGAGAGCAATTTTCTCTCCCCTTGGCCCCCAACGGGCAAACAAGGGTGACGATCAGGCTGCTACCCGCCTGTTTTCCTGTCAAGGAGTCCCAGTGGCACAGGTGCCGAAGAGGAAGAGGAGGAGGAGGAGGAAGAGGAGGAGGAGGAGGAGGAGTGGAGTGGAGTGGAGCCCATTGCGGGTGCACATCTGTCCCTCTAACCCTTCAAGTGTGCTCGACTGCCTAGCCTTCTTTTTGGCTTGGGTGAGGACCTAGGGCGTTAAACCAGCCGCCAGTCTGTCGAGGTATTCTCGCTTGTATCTGTTCAATTGCTCACGACACTGCTTGAACAATAGGCGAGTCTGCTTCTCGGCGATTCCACCGCACTGCGTGCAACACCATCTCCTGAGAGACGTGTGAGCATTCAGGGTGTGGGTGGGATGAGCCCAACCCCCCATGATGTGGATTCGATCCCCCTTCTTCGGGGACAGAAGCACTCCATCGACATGTTTTAACCCTGGGCAGGGTGTCGGCCACCAGGCTTTCCTGCACGCCGTGGAGGCCGACCCTGACCGCCTCAGACAATGCTGCTTATGATCAGTGAAAACGTGGGGAGAGAAAAGGGCGGAGGAGGAGGAGGAGGAGAAGGAGGAGGAGGAGGAGGAGGAGGAGGAGGAGGAAGAGGAGTTAGGAGGAGTTAGGAGGAAGGAGGAGGAGGAGGAGCAGGATGAGGAGAGGAGGAGGCGGAGGAGGAGGAGAGGAGGAGGGGGAGGTAAAGAGGAACATGAAGATTTGGGAGGAGGAGGAGGAGGAGGAGGAGGAGAGGAGGAGGAGGAGGAGAAGGAGAGGGAGGAGGAGGAGGAGGAGGAGGAGGAGGAGAGGAGGAGAGAGAGGAGGAGAAGGAGGAGTTAGGAGGTAGCAGGAAGGGGAGGAGGAGGAGGAGGAGGAGGAGGAGGAGGAGGAGGAGGAGGAGGAGGAGGAGGAGGAGGAGGAGGAGCAGGAGAGGAGGAGGAGAGGAGGAGGAGGAGGAGGAGGAGGAGGAGGAGGAGGAGGAGGAGGAGGAGGAGGAGGAGTTAGGAGGAGGAGTTAGGAGGAGGATGTGGGCGAGGACTTTCCCGCGACGCTCCCAGCAGCCAGCGTGATCATGCCGAGGGCGCGCCCGCCGACGAAATACTGCCCGTCGGGGCCGCCGCCGCCCGTGGCCCGGCTTTGCTCGACCGCGTCGTCCAGCATGCGAACCTCGGCCAGCCGCGCAAGCTCTCTCGGGGCGTCCAAGGGCGTCCAGGAGGGGAGCGACCAAGAGGACCTCCTCCAACCCTCCACCTCCTCCTCCTCCTCCTCCTCGGACATCTTGCTGACCCTTTCAATTCGGCACTGACCGACGCTAGCCGACGCTCATCTACGCTACACCGACGCCAATCGACTGTATGTCGACGCTGAACGACGCTACATCGGCGCTATCTCATCGATTTTCCAGACGTTTATCGACGCTAGCGAGTTTTCAACACTGTATTAGAACGGAAACGAGGTTCCCATGATTTGCTACCGAACGCAGCCTTTCCCAGACAGCAAACGTCTTAAAACATGATGTGGCAATGTTTCACCGCTTTCGGCCCTGGGGGCCCTCGCCAGGATGAGAAGCCTGTCCTTGGGAAGGCGTCGGGACTTCTGCTGGGGACACCGTACTGAACCATAGCCTGGCGAAAGACCCAACCATATGATGCAGCCGTGAGTGCCGCAAGGTGGAGACTAAGGGAGGGGGCTCGCGAAAGGACTAAGGTGTACGGAGCGACGTTGCTGAAAGAGTCACCGAGGTCGGCCGTAACAGGCGACATACCGTGTTACGGCTGATCTGAGCGTTTGTCGGCGCTGCCCTGGTGAGCAGCAGGCAGCGGGGCCTTCGGTGCAGCTCCCCTTGGGGCCACGAAGCGTTTGAGGGGTGTGCCCAAGTGGGTGCGGTCACGCAGGCGACTCCTGCTACTGAGGCCTTTGGTGGAGCTCCCTTTGAAGCCACGAAGAATGTGAGGGTTGTGCCCAAGTGGGCGCGGTCACGGAAGCGATTCATGCCATTGAGGCCCTCGGTGCAGCTCCTTGCGGGGCCACGAAACCTGTGATGGGTGTGCCTACATTGGCGCGGTCACGCATGCGACTCCTGTCTCTGCGGCCTTCGGTGGAGCTCCCTATGGGGACACGAAGCGCGTGAGGGGTGTGCCCAAATGGGCGTGGTCACGCATGTTCCTGCCACTGGGGCCTGTGGTCGAACCCCCGATGGGGACACGAAACGGGTGAGGGGTGTGCCCAAATGAGCGCGGTCACGCATGCGATTCCTGCAACGGGGGCCTGTGGTGGAGCCCCATGAAGGGGCCACGAAACCTGTGAGGGTTGTGCCTACATGGGTGCGGTCACGCATGCGATTTTTGTCACTGGGGCCTTCGGTGGAGCTCCCTGGGCCACGAAACGTGTGCTGGGTGTGCCCAAGTGGGCGCGGTCATGCACGCGATTCCTGACACTGTGGCCTGCGGTGGAGCTCTTTATGGGGCCACGAAACCTGTGAGTGGTGTGCCGAAATGGGCGCGGTCACGCATGCAATTCCTGTTTCATCGGTGGAGCTTCCTATGATGCCAGGAAGCGGGTGAGCGGTGTGTCAAAATAGACGCGGTCACGCAAGCGATTCCTGTCACTTCGGTGGAGCTCCCTATGGGGCCACGGAACGTGTGAGGGGTGTTCTCACATGGACACGGTCACGCATGCGATTCCTGACGCTGGGGCCTTCGGTGGAGCTCCCGTGAGGACATGCGGAGGCAAGGATGGGAAATGGGAGGAGGGATGAGGCGGAACGTGGAGCGCTGTTGACTCAGAACGAGGACCCAACACCACAAGATGGTTGGGGTCTTACTTCCGTCGGCCTCCCCCTGGCTTCCGCCGAAGGCGAGATGCGCCGAAAGCACGGCCCCTTCTGGAGCGCCGCATATGGGGGCGGCGAAATTGTGGGAGGTTGAAGAAAGCGCCGGGATCATCCGCTGGATGCTCGAATAGCGCAGACATCCGCGCACGTTTGGCCAGGCATTCACGAAAGCAAGAACATTAGCCTGGCGAAGGACCCAACCATATGCAGCTGCGAGTGCCACAAGACAGGGCGAAATGACGGAAGAGGGGGCTCGCAAGAGGACTGAGGCGCGTGAGAAGGACGAAGCGGCGTTGCTGATGGGGCCTGCCACTAGCACTCTCGGCGGAGCTCCCTATGTGGCCACGCAACGTGTGAGATGTGTGCGGACATGGTCTGGAGAACACATGCGGGCGCAGCCACTGAGGTCTTGGGTGGAGCTCCCTATGGGGCCACGAAGCGTGTGAGGTGTGCGCCGAAATTGCCTGCAGAAGGCATGCGGGCGCAGCCACTAGGGCCCCAGGTGGAGCTCCCTATTCTTCTGGGGCCGTGCAATGTGTGAGGGGGGTGCCGAAGTTGCATGGAGAAGACATGCGGGCGCAGCCACTGGGGCCTTCGGTGGAGCCCCCTAATGGTGCCACGAAGCGTGTATGGAGTGTGCGGGCATGGTCTGGAGAAGCCATGCGGGCGCAGCCACCTGCGGTGGAACTGCCTATGGGGCCACGCAACCTGTGAGGAGTGCGCCGGCATGGTCTGGAGAAGGTGCGCGCAGCCAGTGGGGCCTTCGGTGGAGCGCCCTTCTGGGGCCACGGAGCGTGTGATGGGTGTGCCGCAGGCGCAGCCGCTCGGGCCTCAGGTGGAGCTGCCTATGGGGCAGCGCAGCGTGTGAGGGGCGTGCCAAAGCCGAGACGCACGGTGGGCAGAAAAGGGAGTAGGGAGGAGGGGGAGGAAGGAAGGAAGGAAGGAAGGAAGGAAGGAAGGAAGGAAGGAAGGAAGGAAGAACGAAAGAAGTATGGAGCGAACGCGGGGCGCTGCTGATTCAAAATGAGGACCCAACGCCACAGCATGGTTGAGAATTCCGATGCTTCCAGAAGGCATCCAAGATGGCTCCAGATAGCCAAAGAGCCGAAGATGGTTCAAGATAACTTCCGACATACCTCCAAGAGGCCGCAACATGGCCACAAGTCTGCTCCAGGTGCTTCCGGAGCCACCCGAGGATCCCCCCCCAAGAGTCCCAAATCCTTCAAATAATTACCAAAAGAAAAACAATAAGTATGCCTTCTCGCCTTTTCGAGTCCGATGGGCTTCTGAGGCCTCAAGATGGCCCCAAGATGGCCCAATAGAGCCCCAAGAGGTGCCCAAGAGGCCCCCCAGACGGCTCCAAGAGAGCCCAGGGAGCGCCCCAAGAACAGCTCAAGAGGCCCCACGAAACGGTTTTAGGGCTCTTGGGGGCCCAGATGAGGGAACCCCCCTTTGGCCTCCAAGATGGCCCCAAAAGGCCCTCCAGGGCTCCCGAGAGGCCCCCGCCAAGAGAGCCCCGAGACCCCTCCAACGACCCCCAAGGGGGCCCCGAGAGCGCCCCAAGAGGCTCCCCTGGGCATCGTTCCTGGATGGGCTGGCGGGACACGCGAAGCGTTGAGAATCCGCCGATCTCTTGGGGTTCGTCGGCGCGTGAGATGCTCCCCCCTCCCCAACCCTCCCCCGGGAGCCTGGTCCGGTCGATTTGGACTGGGGGGGTCCCCCAGGGACGCCCCGAACGCGTCATGGGTAGACAGAGGGCCCCAAAACAGGCCAAGAGGGCCCTGAGAAGCCGTCCGGACGGTTCAAGAGGGCCACGAGCCGCCGAAAGATCCATCCAAAACGATTGCGCTGGCCACGCGGCCCAACAGGCCCCCCAAACGCCCCCCAAAACACTGAAGAGGCGTCCCAAGACAGCTTCAAAGAGCAAATATTGCCCCATTCCTTAGGGAAAACGCGTATTTTAAACACATTCGCCACCTGTGCGTTGACAGCGCCCAAGGCGGCCCAAGAAGCCTTCTAGAGGCCCAAGAAGCCCCCAAGAGGGCCCCCAGATGACCCAAGAAGGCCCCAACACCACTCAACAAGCACCCAAGACGGCCCACAGGGGCCCCAGGACAGCCCCAAAAGGGGCCCAGAGGGGGAACCCGAATGGACATTTCGAGGCTGCGACCCCAAAGCGCGCCCCGGTAGCCCCCCCAAAAACCCCGGGAGGCCCAGGAGGCCCCCAAGAAGTTCAAAAACTGCCTCCCACACGCTCCCACAACGCCTCAAACGAGACCCCATCTGCCCCAAAACAGCCGCGAGAGGCCCCCAGACCGACTTCCGAATGGGCCACACGCCGCAAGAGCGTCCCAAGACGGCCCAAGACGCCCCCAAGAGGCCCCAAGAGGCCCCAAAGAAGCCCAGTGCAGAAGAGGCCCCCAGAAGCCCCCAAGACACCTCCAAGAGGCCACAAAGAAGCTCCCCAAAGCCCCCGCAACGACTGGACTGTACGTGCTCCGGACGTGCACGCCGCGAAGCGAGAGGAATCCGTTGTTTGAGCGCAGGAAAAAAAAACAGCATAAACAGAAACTTTCGGCGCTCAGCGCGGATTTCTTGGATCTGCGCCGCGCTGAACCCCCCTCCCTGTCACGCGGAGCGCGCCAGGGGCGCCACCAGGGGGGGCCCAGGCGCGGATCCAAGAAATCCGCGCGGAGCGCCAAACGTTTCTGTTAGCCTCTGCTCCTATTCCTCCTCCTACGCGTTCTTTTCTTCATTGGCCAAACCGCGCACACGAGGTCACACCCCGGCGCAGCGGCGCCAGAGGGAAAACGAGGGCGGGAGGGCGGGACAAGCGGTCCCCCCTGTGACCCAAAAGGCTGCGGAGAAGACAAGGGGGGCAGAGGGGGAAGTGAGACGGATGCAAGCAAGTGCGGAGGGAGGGTGCAGAGAGACTAACGACGCTTCACATTTGTGAATCCGCGTTTATGGCGTTTCTTCTTCTTCGATTCTCAAATGGCCCTCCTGCGCCCCGATGCCTTGCACCCCTCACGAGGCCCAGAGCACCCCTCGCGAGGCCCAGAGGGCCCCAGGGGCCCGATAGTGGAGCGAAGAGCTGGGGGCAACTTGGGCCAGGGGCACTTCTAGCAACACCCGAAACGACCACCCTGCGCCACGATTCCTTTCGGGCGTTGGCATAACTTGGTTCAGTGGGACCTGGCCTAGTGATGTGTACTGGGGGGCGCCCCCCCCCCGCCCGTTCCACTGACCGGAACTGCAGTTGCCCGGAAAAACGGCAACTACGACAGACCTGGTTTAGTGATTCTGGCCAACTTAGGGGCTCCAGGGCCCTACTACCAACCGGGTCCCCTTACCCGGGGTCCTGGCTGAACCCGATCCTTGCAGGGATCCGACGCCGGCAGACCGCGGCTCAGCCGCGGCACTTTGGGGCGCTCCGCTGCCCCCCCCCCTCCCCGGTGCAGCTCTGGCGCCCCATCGGCGGTGGCCCGAGGAGGAGGAGGAGGAGGAGGAGGAGGAGGAGGAGGAGCAGGAGGAGGAGGAGGGAGGAGGGAGAGGGAGGAGGAGGAAGGAGGGAGAAGGGAGGAGGGAGGGAGGAGGATGAGGAGGGAGGAGGGAGGAGGAGGATGAGGAGAAGGGAGGAGGATGGAGGAGGAGGAGGAGCCCCCCCCCCACCCCCCGCGAGGGCCGCCGAGGCCCCCCGGCCGGCAGCACGGAGCACACGCGTGCGCTCTTCGAGCCCCCCCGCCGCCCCCAAATGGTACCCCGAGTGGGCCCTCGATGCTCCTCGATCCCTCCCCGACCCTCGATCCTCCCCGATCCTCTCGATCCTCGATCCTCCTCGATCCCTCCCCGATCCTCGATCCTCCCCACTCCTCTCGATCTTCGATCCTCGATCCTCCTCAATCCTCAGTCCTCGATCCTCGAGTCCCCGCTGGCCCCGGGGGCACAAAGAGGCCCCTCGGTGGCGATGCCGAATCCGTGACCGGCACCGCCGCGCCCCCTCAGATCCTGGCGTTGCAAGTTTTTCACCACGGGCGTTTTCGCTCGATTTCGGGCCCCAAGACCCTCACATATCGATCTGGCTCGGAAAATCACGCAGAAGGATGGGGTCCGGAGCTCCGGTTGTGATTTTTTGCGATGTTGTTCCCCAATCAGAGCTTGCCTCTGTAGGGGTCCTAGCGGATTCATATGGTTAGGTTAGGTTTGCCGCCGATTTTCGCTGCACGCCCGGGTGCCCGGGTGCCTGGGGGTACCCGTGTGCCTGGGGGTGCCCTATAGCCCTGTAGCCCTATAGCCCAATAGCGCTATAGCCCTATAACCCTACAGCTCTATAGCCCTATAGCCCTATAGCCCTATCGCTCAATAGCTCTATAGCCCGATAGCCCTATGATTGGGGCTTTTCTCCGGTATCAGACTTGTTTTGCAACGTCGGATCTCAGGGCCTAGATGCTGGGGCGTGCGAAGCGGGTCTGGCGATGTCTGGCGCCAATCGGCATCAGCAGCAGTCCGACGTCGCGCCGCTTGGTTGCTGGCCCAGGGAGGCTAAGCCAGCGAGCTCGCAAGCCTGGGGCAGGCGAGTCCCGGGCAGCCAGCAGCTCCCAACGGTCACGATGGCTCGGACCGAGCTTCCAGCGGTGCAGTGGAACACATTATCAACAGGACTCCGACGTCGCGTTTTTGCTCACAACTTCGATCCCCGCAGGTGAGGGGCAACGATAGGGGGGGACTGGCATAGGGGGGATGCATCGACTTGGAATCGGCGATACATCGCTGATAGATCGGCGATAGTCCCCCGATCGTGAATCCGCACCTTCCTGGGCAGGTTGGGGCTATCGGGCCTCTATCGGCGATCAATGGGCGATTGGGGGTCGATGCATCCCCCGCTATGCCTATCCCCCCCTATCGTTGCCCCTGAACAGGTCTGGCCTTCGACTACACGCAAGAATGACCCTGGGTAAGAGTGACCTTTGGTGCGCGGCTCTTTGGGGGCCGCGGGGGAACCAAACACGAGCGCGCAAGGCGCTACTACCGCATCGCGTCTGGCGATCGGGGGACCCCATGGGGCCCGCACCAAAGGTCATTCCGGCGGAAGGTCACTCTTACATGCAGCCGGACCCTCCTCTGGGCCTGGCTTTCTATCCGGGGTACTTCTCTGAGGGTTCCGAGGCGCCTGGCAAGGGCCCCCCGGAGGCCGAACTGGACAAAAGCCTCCCGTCGTGATCCTTGTCACCTCCTCCTCCTCCTCCTCCTCCTCCTCCTCCTCCTCCTCCTGGCCTCTTTTTCTTGGCGGCGCGCACAAGGTGGAGGGAGGGGGGAGGACATCTCAGAAGGAGATTGCTTCTTAGAAGGCGCCAGCCCTGCACCTACAGAGAAGGCCCGCGCCTTCTAAGAAGCAGACGTGCCTCTACGCTGCCCTCCCCCCTTCCCGCCCCCCCCCCCCTCTGTGCGCAGAGCTCGAGCTAAACGGCGCTTCCCAGTCTCGTTCTGTCTCTGCCATCCCCCGTCCTGTCTTCGCTCCACCCCCGCTGCACAACGAGCCCAAAACGAGACCGGCCCACGAGATTGCCCGAGCACCGCTCAGCCCGGGCCCGGTCTGCGCGCGGCTGGTTCTAAGCCGGGCGCCGTGATGGGGGTCAGGGTCTGGCCCTGCCGGGCGTCCTCTGGGCAGTGTCGACGCATGGGAAGATTCAAGACATGGGCCGCCGTCGGCCTCTGGGGGCTCTCCCCGGGCCTTGGAGCCGTAGAAGAATCGGGGGTTGTAAAAGGTGCCCCTGGCCCAAGGTGCCCCCCAGCTTCTCGCTGAGATCTTGGAGCCCCTGGGGCCCTCTGGGCCTCGTGAGGGGTGCTCTGGAGGCCGCAGGGGCCTCCCTGGAAATCCTGGGGGCACCTTGGGCCATGGGCACTTCTTGCAAAACCCGCAAACAACCGCCTGGGATGAAGAACGAGTCCAGGGGTAGGGGTCCAGACCTCTGGGGTCCACGTTGCGGAAAAAACTGGACGTGGGGGTCTGGGGAGCAAGATCCCCGCACCCCCACGAGCGCAGAACCGCGCCCAAAACAGTTATCCAGGCGAAGGACCGAACCATATGCAGTTGTGGGTACCGCAATTGTGAATATCTTCTTCGGTGAAGCTCCCTATGGGGCCACGAAGCGCTGCACTGGGTGGGGGGAACGCTGTACTGGGTGGTGAAAATCCCACCAATCGGGTTTCCGGGACGCATGCGGACGGTCCCACTGGGGGCTTCGGTGGAGCTCCCTATGGGGCCACGAAACGCTGCACTGGGTGGGGGAAAATGCCAAATTGGGTTTCCCAGGCGCATGCGGACGGTCCCACTGGGGGCTTCGGTGGAGCTCCCTATGGGGCCACGAAACGCTGTACTGGGTGGGTGAAAATGCCAATTTGGGCATCCGGGACGCATGCGGACGGTCCCACTGGGTGCTTCGGTGGAGCTCCCTATGGGGCCGCGAAGCGCTAAACTGGATGGGTGAAAATGCCACATTGGGTATTGGGGACGCATGCGGACGGTGCCACTGGGGGCTTCGGTGGAGCTCCCCATGTGGCCACGAAGCGCTGTATTGGGTGGGTGGAAATGCCAAAGTGGGCTTCTGGGACGCATGCGGACGGTCCCACTGGGTGCTTCGGTGGAGCTCCCTATGGGGCCACGAAGCGCTGCACTGGGTGGGGGAAAATGCCAAATTGGGTTTCCCAGGCGCATGCGGACGGTCCCCCTGGGTGCGCCGAGGGGGAGGAGGGCCAGGAAACGCTGTACTGGGTGGGGGTGACGCATGCGGACGGTAGCACTGGGACCTTCGGTGGGGCTCCCTACGGGGCCACGAAGCGCTATACTGGGTGGGTGAAACGCAGGGAGGAGGGGGAGGAAGAGGGAGGAGGGGGAGGAGGAGAAGGAGGAGGAGAACGCGGGGACTGTTAACTACTTCGAAACGAGGACCCAACACCACAGGATGGTTGGGAACAAAAACCTCAAAAGGCTCCTCGGTCCTAAACCCTCCCTCCGCTCCGATCCTCGATGCTGGGCGAAGGGTTAGAAGAAGTAGGGGCACCTCGACCCTCGATGATTGGGGCGGCAGGTGAGTGGCAACGTTACGTGGGGACCAGCTCAGGGGGGAACTGCAGACTATCACATACTATCACCTGGGCGGCTCCAACGTGGCCCATCCGGAAGGAAAGAACTTCTGGGGCGCGCCCAGGAACCCAGGGTGCCCCGTTTCCGCGGAAGAAGAAACATCCTGGCGACGGGTTCGAGCATGGGGTGATCCCCCCCCTTGAAATTCTGGAAGAGGAATGAACTCTCAGCCGCGGGGGGGGGGGCCCGCGCGCGGGGTCCCCCCCCCACCCCCCAGCGCAACAGGAGGAAAAGCGCGCGAGCCCAGATTGTAAGCATAATGCAGCAGCGCTCTAATAGTGGCTGCACTCGGGAACTATACTAGCACTAGGAATTGTACTAGAGAGTTGCACTAACGAGTTGAACTAGGGAGTTGTACTAGTAATACGGAGTTGTACTGGTACTAGGGAGTTGTACTAGGGAGTTGTACTAGGGCGTTGTACTAGGAGATTGTGTTAGGGGGTGCACTGTGCCACTAGTTACTTGTAATATGATACGAATTGCACTCTAATACTTGTACTGCAAGAGCAGATGCGCTCTAGGAGCAGCTGCGCGTCAGTACATGGTAGCACCAGTTATACTCAAATACTACTTGTACTGTAGTCGGAGGGGTGCAGAGGTTCCAATAGCAATACGCGCGAGGGAAGAAATCCATGCGCCGCGAGGGGCCCCAAATTTATCCGGGCTTAACGGGTCGCCGCGAAGGTTGACCCGCCGCGGAAAGAAGACAATCAATCCGGCCGGGGGGTATGTGGGGTTAAGGCGTGAGTCCATGGACTGATCGCAGACTTCGGAGTCGTCGATGCATCGACGGCAGATCTGCGATGGGCCCCCGATAGCAAAGGCGCACTTTCCTGGGCGGGGGCAGAGTCTCGGGCCCGCATCGGCGATCCGTGGGCGACTGGGCACCGATGCATCTCCCCTGAGCCCATTCCCCCCCCCCCCTGACCCAGAGATCCGATGGCTTCCTTCTCCCATACGGGGTCCCCCGAAGTCTGGACCCCTTCCCCGAGGCCGGCTTTTCTCGGGAGCGGCCAAGAGGGGGGTGTCCAAGAGGGGGGGGATGCAAATCATGACCGGCGGCATGTGCGCGGCCCTGCGGGGGGTCCAGGGACGTAAAGAAATAAGAAGAGGCGCCATGAAATCTGGGGAAATATCATGGCCCCCGCCATGATATCCCCCCCCCCCTAGTCATCACCCCCCTCTTTTCCGCCCCCGATTTTCATCCTGCGTCGTTTTGGACCGCCCCGGGGCACGGAGAGGGCCCCCGGCGGCCGAGCGCAGGGCAGAGACCTCCGTCCTGCCTTCTGCTCGAGTCGTGGGCTGCCTTGCCTGGGAGCGCCCTGCACCTCCCGAGGGGCTTCTCCTGCTAGCTCTGGCTCCGGCGCGCAGCCCGCACGTGCTCTCGACGGCACCCCCGTGGGCGGCTCTGTCCTCGCCTCCGCTCCGCTCCCCCCCCCCTTCTGAGCGTTTGCTCATTCGGCGTGTCGACACTGGGCGGAAGGGGGGGGGGGCGGGTCTGGCTCTGGACCTCTGTTGAATGCGACTGTTTGAATCAGTCCGTCCTGCGGGGGAGACCCCACCTGCTCAATCCGAGACCCCAGGACGTCCATCGATGCTTGGTGCGGGAACGCCACGCTGTCCGCAGCAAAACCATCGAGACCCAAGCAACCCTGGGCACCCTGGAGGCAAGCAGGGAGCTTCTTGGCATGGACCTCCACTGCACGCATTTTGGCAAACTCACACGGCTGGCGGGCAAGCTGAGGAGGAAGAGGAGGAGAAGGAGGGGGGGAGGGGGAGGGGGAGGAGTAAGAGGAGGAGGCGGAGGAGGAGGGGGAGGAGGGGGAGGAGGAGGAGGAGGAGGAGGAGGAGGAGGAGGAGGAGGAGGAGGAGGAGGAGAAGGAGGAGGAGGAGGAGGAGGCGGAGGGGGAGGAGGAGGAGGAGGAGGCGGAGGAGGAGGCGCAGGAGGAGGAGGAGGAGGAGGAGGAGGAGGAGGAGCAAGGAGCTCCTTGGCACGGACCTCCACTGTACTGCCCCCCGCTGGGCCACTTCGCCCCTGTGCCGTCGCGGCCGACTCTGGCCCGACCGGCGCCCCCGACCGCTTCCGCACCCCTCTGCGCCCGCGGACTGGAGCTCGTGTCTTGTCTGGGAGCGCTGCCATTGGAGCAGGGACCGACCGCCCCGGCATTCGGGCGGCCTGGGCCGCGGAGGAGCTGAAGGTCAAGGACCCAGTCATCCGGCCCCCACAGCCGTGCGACGACGCGTGCGCTTGCTTTTTGCATTCATGGGACAAGGGCTTATTGGGGGGGGTCCGGGCCTCAACGCTTGATCAGAGCGCTTGGAGAAGAGACTGAACATGTTCTGAGAACAAAAGCAATGCTCTTAGCACATAAGCCCGACGTGCTAGAACGAGTCAGGCTCGGCCAGACATGCTCTAAGAACATCTTGTGCCGACCACGAAAAGGTTCTCAGAACCTTCTTTGGTGGTCCTATAGGCGAGCCAGGACGCTTCGCCACTGCTTGAGAGTCTTGTCTGGGAACGCTGCCCCTGATCAGGGGGGGCCCCCTCGTGTAAAGGGGCCCAGGGACACACGAATAAATACGCATAAATCCCAGGAGTGCCATCTGTGCCCATATTTTTGGGATTTTCCTTTCCCTCCTGACTTCCCATATTTTCTTATATTTTCTAGGGAATCGACGATTCACTGTGTCTGTGTGTTTCCCCCCCTCCCCCTGAATGGTGACACCCCCTTTGGCCCTGCTGGCCCTCCTGCGGCCCAGCTCCCGCCCCGCCAGCGGCCGCGCCCTGCCCGTCGTTGGCGAGGTAGCCGCTGAGCCCGGACTGCTGGGTGGGCGCCCCGCCGCCGTACCCCGCGCCCCCGAACGGCCCGACGTCGTACCCTCCTGGGCAACCGCACGAAGAGAGGGTGGGCGTTTCCTGACTCGGCGTGAGGGAGAGGGGGGACGGCCCGCCGTCGTACCCTCCTGGGCAGCAACCACACGGAGAGAAGGTGAGCGACTTCTTACTCGGCGTTTCGACATGGAGCGAGAAGGGGGGGGGTCTGGCTCCGGACCTCTGCTTGATGCGACTTTTTGCAACAGTGCGTCCTGTGGGGGAGACCCCACCTGCTTAAAACAGGCGCCCAAAATAGCCAAGATCTACTCCTTGGGGGGGGGAGGGGATGCGAGGACCCGCGCCGATCGGCAAAACAATGAATGAGAAAACGACCACAAGCGGGTGTTATCCGCAGAAGAAGGCCTCAATACACCACCACCGCGCCTGGCCCTGTCCTGGCACGGCGGTGGTGACTAAGAGGCATTCTGCGGGCCTTCCGCGAGAAACACAGCAACCTGACGCTGCGGCTGACGCGGGCCGCTGACGTGCACACCGCCTTGGAGAAGAGGGCGCTTCCGCGCGCGAGCGTCTGCGCAGTCGATCCCGTGCTCTTCCGTCGCTCGCATGTCTGACCCCTCCTCCTCCTCCTCCTCCTCACTCCTCCTGCCCCTCCTCCTCCTCCTCCTCCTCCTTCCTCTCCTCCTACCTCCTCCTTCCTCCTCTCCTCCTCCTCCCCTCCTCCCCCTCCCTCCTCCTCCTCCTCCTCCTCCTCCTCCTCCTCCTCCTCCCCTCCTCCTCCTCCTCCTCCTCCTCCTCCTCCTCCCCCTCCTCCTCCTCCTCCTCCCCCTCCTCCCCCTCCCCGCCATGTTCGGGCCCTCGACGGCAAGGACCGCTGAAGAACCGAGCTCGGGGAGTGGGTCGAGACCACTGCAGGGCCCAAGCGGTGCGCCAAATCACGGCGTCGCGTCGTGGGTCTTGGATGAACCCTGCCTCTGCAAGCTGGGTGTCTGAGAGACTGACCGGGGCTCAGAACATGAACGAATGATTTCTGGAGCCAAGTCATCTCCAGCAGTGGCGCCCGATCCACAAGAGCCGATTGGAACCACATGGGTGAGGTTCGCGGGTGGTCGCAGACCCCCCGGCACCAGCGCCGCCGAAGCCCGCCGCCGCGCCGCCCCTGTCGCCGCCGTACCTTGGCGGCGCGCAGGACATGGGGTGGGGCGACGGGGGGGGGGGCTCCTGTCTTCTTCCCGCCTCTTGCCGTCGCTCGGACGTCCATTTCCCGTGCATTTTTCGGTTTCGCGCGTGTTTTTCTTGCTCGATGGTCCAGGATGGTCCTCGATGGCCCTCGCCGAACGAAAACACCTGTCCGAGCGATGCCAAGGCCTCCTCTCGCAGCGCAACATCGCTGCAACCAAACAACAACGGATCGCAGATTCTCGGCTCCCCCGGAGCTCCGGCGCCGTGAGATCCGCCACGACGCCGACCCCTGGGGGCCTGGGCCCCTGCTCCAGGAACCGTTCGCCCGCCCGGGCCATTTCTGAGGGCCCCGAGGCTCACGTAGCTCCCAGCGTACTTAAGGACCACATCCCAGAAAGAACGTCGAGCACCCAGAAAAGTGTCGAGGCAGTGTCGAACGAGTATCGCCTCCCAGGGCCCGACACGTGAAAGCCCTCAGGTTTCGGTACTTTCTTGGTGTTCCGGTGGTCACGGCTAAGGTAGGTTGGAACATCACAACCCGAGGCCAGTCAAAAGCTTCCGGACCGAAGCCAAAAAACAACCAAGAACCACTCGTCGGGATTCTCTCCCTGCGGGAAGGGATGGGGGAACTTGGACCCCCGCTCCGGGCCGGTTTTCCATTCCGAGCTGTCTCTGCTCGTCCCAGGGCCCGATTGCAGGCTCTTGGGAGCCGAACACTGCCCCCGAACGCCTCCCGCCGCGAGCTTCCCACGGCGCGAGGTGCCCGGGCCGCCCTCCACAGCCCGCCCGGGGGGGGAGGAGCATCCCAGGGTGGTGGCACGCCCGAGTGTCGTCCGGCAGTGCGTACCGCTCGTGTTGCCTTGGGTCGGGCGTGTCCTCCTGCAGGCGGATTCTGGAGGAAAAATATGAGATCGTCGAGAAGTACACCACCCCCGCGACCCCCCCCCTCGATGGGTTCTCGGTGCTGGTGGTCCCTGTCTCGCCTCTGAGCGCCCCAACATCCGCCGAGCTGATCTGGCTCCCTTCGCGGCCTCGGGAATCCCGACGGCCTCCCCCGGGGTCTCTCTCCGTCCCGGATCGGCTTCGAGGCCTCTGGGGCCGCGAATCGAGAAGAGGCCTGCCGGTGGAGACGATCACTAGGGGAACAAGAAGTGACATAAGCATAAAAACTCGGAGGTCCGCGCGGATTTCTCGGATCGGCGCTGGGGCCCCCCGGCGGCGCCTCCGGCGCCGCCCCTGGCGCGCTCCGTGCGCCAGGGAGGGGGGTCCAGCGCGGATCCGAGAAATCCGCGCGGAGCTCTGAGTTTTCAGCCTCAGGGATCTGGGTGTGTGCCCGGTGCCACGCACCCTCCCACGCTGCCGCCGGGGGGGAGGCCTCCGAACATGGCGCCGCAGCGCGGGAGGGGCGGAGGGCCGCCGGGCGGACGAAGCGGGGCGCGAGCGGGGCCTGCCAGCGCGGAGGCAGGGCGGCTGCGAGGAGGAGGGAGGGTTCGGCAAGAAGGGGCGGCAGCGGCGGAGCCGGGAGGAGGAGGAGGAGGGGGAGGAGGAGGAGGAGGGGGAGGGGGAGGAGGAGGAGGAGGAGGAGGAGGAGGAGGAGGAGGAGGAGGAGGAGGGAGGAGGAGAGGAGGAGGAGGAGGAGGAGGAGGAGTGGAGGAGGAGGAGGAGGAGGAGGAGGAGGAGGAGGAGGAGGAGGCAAGAGACATGTCGCGCCTGCGCCACGAGCGGCATGAGCGCCTGCGCCAAGAGATCAGGCGGCGCAACCTCGACCTGGCAGGATGGGGCGGCAACGGCGGAGCCCCATGTCCTCTGGCAGCGAAAAAAAACGGCAGATGGCCTCTGGCCGAATGCAATCTCCCAGAGGCCCTCACAGGGCCTCTCGGGGCCGTCAAGAAGCTGCCTGGGATGAACAACACTTCGTCCCGGGGAAAGAGTCCATATCTCTGGAGGCTGACGTTGCGAACAAAAGCCACGACGTCGGAAATCTGGGGGGAGGGGCGGGAGGACAAGTGCAGACAAGCACCATGGGATTAAGGTGGAGATGGAGTGCAAGCGTGAGGAAAGCATAATCCGGAGTGGAAGAGCAGTACCAATGTCACGCCGGTCTGACGACTGAAGCACCAGGCTTCTGCATCAAGAATGGCTGAGTGGCACGCGCAGCAACACAGACTACGCGCGCGTCGTTCTCCAGACAGTACTTGCACTTCGCGTGCCTCAGGAATTGGGTGGGCTGGTGGTTGAGCGAGGTTTTGCGCCAAGCTGCCGCCCGTGGGCACCTTCTGGGGAGCGGGCTCGGACGGCGAAGTCGTCAAGTATACGCCGTGTTTTCTGCGCAGCGGCGGGCTCGGCGTTCCGCCTCGGACTTCCCCCCCTCGTTGTGATCCTGGAGCTGAAATCTTAACGCGGCTTCGCGGACGGAAGGCGGGCGGTCTTCAAGCTGTGGCTCTCGCCTCTGGCGCTGCGCTCACTCGTCCGAGGAGCTGGCAGCAGCTTCACCGGTGGAGGGCGGGCCCCTTTCAAAATGTGGCTCTCGCCCTAACGCGCCGCGAAACTGCACACCCAGAACATCCAACGCTTTCACTGATGGACGGCTCGTCCTTTTCAATCTGTGGCACTCGCCGTAGCGCCGCACACATTCGCTTTACAAGCTTGCGGCCGCTGCACGGATGGAAGGCGGACAGCTTTCATAATGCAGGTCTCGCCTCAACGCCGCGTACAATTGTTTTTACCGATGGGTGTTGGGTGGTTTTCCGAATGTGGCTCTCGCTGTAGTGCTGCACGCATAAGGGGTCGTACGGTTGAAGTCCCAAGCATGGTGGTTTCGGATCGTCAGGACGCAACCCTCACGTTGATTTGAAGGCCTGGGAATGTTCTGGTACGGTTTCGGCTTGCCAGGACGCAACAGTGACGTTGATTCACAGCGCTGAAATCCAAGAAATCATGTTCTGGCACGGTTGAAGATTCTCCAGCGGTTGTCTTCCAACAGGACACTTCTCCCAATGAGTATAGATCCTCCTCCTCCTCCTCCTCCTCCTCCTCCTCCTCCTCCTCCTCCTCCCTCCTCCCCCCTCCTCCCCCTCCTCCTCCCCCCCCTCCTCCTCCTCCTCCTCCTCCTCCTCCTCCTCCTCCTCCTCCTCCTCCTCCTCCTCCTCCTCCTCTCCTCCTCCTCCTCCCCCTCCTCCCCCTCCTCCTCCCCCCCCTCCTCCTCCTCCTCCTCCTCTCCTTCCTCCTCCTCCTCCTCCTCCTCCTCCTCCTCCTCCTCGTCCCCTCGTCCCCCTCCTCCTCCTCCTCCTCCCTCCTCCTCCTCTCCTCCTCCTCCTCCTCCTCCTCCTCCTCCTCCTCCTCCTCCTCGGGAGCCTCTGGAGCCTCGGACAAGTCTATCCCTCAGCGAAAGATAGCCTGCAAAAACAAATTCAATGCACTGGGAATGGCACTCCAACCTCCCTCTTGCTGGTTGGGTCCACTCCTCTGCGGAGCATCTTCAATGCTCTCGCGCCTGCGTCCGAGGGATGGGAGCAGCGCGCGGCCAAGTCTTTGACCTGCCGCCGCGCGTGTCTCCCGCACACGGAACAATGAAAGAGATCTGATTCGCCCAGGCGCCACATCCGATGAGACTCATGCACTTTCGCTAAGACTCTGGGGATTCCTGGGCATACATTCTGAACTACCACACTACGTTGCTTTGCCGTCTTACCGCAAACACGACAGCCCCACACACCGTTTGTAATGTGCAGGAGATGTTCTTTGTCATCGGGGTCGATCCTAAGCTGTAGGACGGGCTCAGCTGGACCTACTACAAGCCTAGACGGTTTCGCTGTCGGCTTCTTAAACGGCGTTACATCGGGAAAACGCAACTCGCTGAGCCTCTTGAGGGTCCCCCCGAGGAGCCTCACGAATTGCCTACCTATGTTTTCGGCTGCTGCTACACGCTGCTCTACATGGGCTGCTGAGGGGTGACCCATGGCTCCAAGCTTAGCGTATGTATCTGCTGCTCTGTTCCCGTAAAACCAGTCGTCAGGATACCCGTTGTTGCGATACCACGATTGGGACCTGTGAGATGGCATCCACAGGACCTCGACGTTTTCTGAGCCAATGTCATCAAGCTTCCAGAAAATTTGCCTCCAGATCTCCCAAAAGGCCTGCTTCGGATTGCACATAACATTCGGCCCCTTCTCGAGGCCTATGATGATATTCTTATGGTCGGTAACGACGGTGCCCTTTGCCCCGCCGAGCAAGTGGAGCGCCTGCAGCAGGGCGTAGTGCTCGGCGAGACCTGAGGACTGAACAATACCTGGAACAGGACCGTAAGCCGCTGCCAGCACATCCTCGGTCCCAGGTCGAATCGAAACTGCCGCCCACCCCGCTCTTGTCAGCCAATCGAAATCTGGGTTTAAACCTGATCCGTCCGTGAAGATGAGAGTGGTGAACCTGCCCCTGGGAGGATAACATCTCATTTGGCATTCTCTGGCCTGGAGCGGCGGTGGCATATCATCTCGCTGACTGTCCACAACTCCGAAGGTGGTGAGGACTGCATCTGGGTTCTCGCGGCCAAGGCGGATCATTTCCTGAAACCCTTGCTCGCGCCTCCAGCTGGCGAGCCCGTCACACTCGTAATGCCGATGAGAGATCGTGCCACGGCCGCCGCGGCACCAGCTACAATCCCTGTCTATCGTGAAACGTTCCTGGAAGAGTTTCTCCTGAGTCCAGAGGCCCCCAGACATGTGCATGCTGACCAGGTCCGCCTGAATAAACTCCCCTTGCCCACGAAGTTGTCTGAGTTCGGCTTTTACAGGATCCAGGAAAGCGAAACCTTGCCATCCATGGTGTGCTGCTGCTGCTAACTCCTGCTGTCTCCTCACTCCTCTATGTATGACCTTCTTCAAATCTGGCATACAGACTTCTCTGAGATCTACTGGGAGCCCCCGAGGATCTTGCCACTGCGAAAAAGAACTGGCCTTCCAGCCCAGTCTGCGAAGCGTCTGCACAACCGCTCCTGCTGGGCCTATGACGGCCGCCCAACCCTTTGTCTCTCTCTCCAGAGCCGCCGTGAAGATACGAGACATGAGATTCTCTGGGATCCACTGCTGATGCAAAGCCTGCCACCATGTGACCAAGGGTAATGTGTTGACAATATATGATGGATCTAGATCCGCTGGATCTGCCAGAAGGAATTGCACCGCTCGGGATCGGCCTTTCGCCTTCCCGAACAACGCGAAACCAGAGACTGCCCTGAGATCTTTCAAATCCTTATCCGTCATCCCCATCACCCGCACCCCGTAAGTAGCTGCTGAGATCCCTCCCGTCCTGTAAACCTTCGCTAAACCTTTGCTATGATGTCGTAAAGCTCTAAACCGATGCGCTCGTCGTCGTAGCTTGCTGACCCTGCCCTGAATGATCTTCTTGCCTTTGCGAAGCTGCAGCCTGAAATCATGGCCAAGATTCTTGACACTGGCACAAACTGCAAACCGAAAAGCACGTAAAACACGGCCTAACTTTTCTGCCACGGCAGGGCAGGAGGACATCACCTGGCACTTCTTCTTAGAAACGACTAACTCGAGCTTCTCTAGCTGCCTGCAAAGATCTGGAATCGCCTTCGCTAGCAGAGCTCTTACTCGCTGGGCTGATCCAATCGCTGCCAAGGTGATGTCGTCTACGATGACATGCAAGGTGAGGGGCGGCCAGCGCACCTGCATGTACTCTAGCGCGTCTTGCACTACTACCCTGAGCATGGTTGTGGCAAACGAGCAACCTGCGATAATTGACCGTGTCAATATGATGATGGCGGATATCACCTCCCGAACCTTGAGCCTCCTGGGGCCTCCATATACCCTGATGAGCAGACGGGCCCTTCTCAAGTTGAAACCGTGCTTCTTACACGCTTGCCACAAAACATCGTGAGGGATCTTCTCATAACACTTCTCTAGATCGACCAAGCCTGAAGCCGAGCACGCGCCGGCCGACGTAGCAGCTTCTGAAACAGCCGCCTGTTGCCACACAGCGCGCTCGCAGCTCTTGCCCTTGGCCCCATAAACACAGCAAGGTCGTGCTCCCTCTCCCATTGCTGTGCTTCACCCCTCCGTATCCTCCCCAATATACGAATGCATGTTGCGAGCACTCCTATTGGCCTGAAACCGCCATCTGGCTTCTTGAGGAACGCGATCAGGGCGAGGTCGCACTGATCTGGAATCAAAAACTCTGATTCTATCACCGACAAGAAAAGGCCAAAAACCCTCAAGGCATCGTCGCTGAGGAACTGCAGGACCTTCGGGCTCCACCCGTCGATGCCTATGGCCGTGCCTTTCTTGAACTTCTTCAAGATTGCCCTGATTTGTTCTGCTGTTGGGGCTGGTGGAGGGGCCTCGAGAGGAAACTGAAGGTCTCGACTGCCAAGCCTCTGGGGTTCTCCAGCATGCCAGATCTCCTTCCACTCCGAGACGAGCTGCTTGACCGCGTCGACGGGCCCAGCTGGGCCCTCGGATGGCCCCTTGGGGTCGGGGGCCCAACCTTGAGGCTCCTTGGTCCACTTGTAGAGCCCTCCTCCTCCTGAGTCCAGGGATTGGTTAACCCAAGTCCTCCACTCCTTCGTCCTGCTCTTCTTAAACTCAGCCTCCTCCAAGTCCGCGATGGCCCGAACGGCCTCCAGGGCGGACTGGACGTCCTCGATGACGCTGTGCCGACCTAGCGTGAGCCTGTCGTGAAACTCGCGCCAGCCTGCATGGTCCTTCAAATTGGGGTGCCTCCAGAGGATCCTATCCAGAAGTTCCCGAACTCCTCGGTCGTCCCAATAGTGGTTCTTGCCCAGAAGAAACCCCAGTTCTTCCAACCAAACCTGATACTTCCGAATCGCCCTGGCAGCTTTCGAACACTTTGGAAACGGCCCCTTGATGTGCTCCAGAATCGGTTTCTCGACGATCTTATAACCAGTACCCCTCCCAATATACTTAGCCCGTTCGTTCTCTGGAATACACATCACGTCGCAAAGCTCGGCCTCCATGCGGGTGCACAAGAGGCCGTACAAGTCTGTGAAACTCTTCGCCGACATCTCGCCAGCGAACCCCTCGAATAAACTCGAAAGAACCTGCCAATCCTGCGGCGGTGGGACTGGTCCTATGGGCCTCTCGACTGGGAAAGGCATCGGCATCTTCAAACATTGCTTCGTCTGAGTGTGAGCGTTAACACCCAACTCCAGACGCACTGGGAAATGAGTCTTATTGGCTGAACTTACCACTCTCTGGCACGACTTGACCACTCCAAACAACTCATGCGAAACGATAAAGAAATCTAGTTCCCTCCATTCTTTCCCAACCCGACAAGTCGGTTTGTTGCAGCCCACGACGATACCCCTCATCCTGGAAACCGGCTTGGCCTGCTGGACCTCCGAAGGTAAACTATTGAAATCCCCCGAGACGATGAAGGGCCTCCTGGAAGCATACAAGAACTCTCCCAACTGGTTCATTATTTGCTGCCCACGAGCTCCTAATATGCCTTCTCCGTCTGGAAGATAGACTGTAGCTAAGTAGAAGCCTCCCTTCACGCAGCCGTTCACCCACACGATCGAACAACGCGAATGGAGAAGATGAGAATGATGTCCCTGGACTTCACCGACGCCGACACAACTGCGCACACTTATGCCGACTCCTGAGGACACTCCCCCTTGATCAGTTTGCACTCCTGGTGACAACCTAAGTTTCCACCCTTCGCTCGTCATCGACTGTTCCTTCTGCGAGACGCTATCCTTCAAAACTCTGCATTCCTGGAGGCAGATGATAGAATCGTCGCGCATCAGGGGGTCGGTGACAAGTGAAGCCGTGCCAGACCATCCTGAAGTGTTGGCTGTGACTATCCGCCACACCGTTCTTGAACTGGTACTGGTATCCCGACGCGCGGCGGCGCGTGGGCTAAAGATCTGACTGGTCCTCTGGAGCCTGGCCGCCCTTGCCTGCCCCTGGTCCCTTGCCCTCAATGAGCGGGTGGCTGCCGACCAGCTTGCGGGCGTGCTCGCGCAGCTCCGCCGACGACTTGGCCGTGCCCTTGCCGAACGTCGGCGGCGCTGGGGGCGCCTCGGCGCGCGGCGGCGGCTCGGCGGCGGCGTCGGCGCCTCCAGCTGCTGCTGGCGCCGCGGCCTGGCCGTTGCCTGCCTCCGTCGCCGCTGCAGCGCCTCCGCCCTGGTCACCCGCGGGCTCCTGGCGGCGGCGCTTCGCCTGCAGGCGAGCCTTGAGCTCCTCATGCTCCTTCTTGCACTGCTCTGCCTTCTGCTTGATTTCCCCGAACATCGACTGTGCCAGGGTCTGGAACTGCTCCTTGAGTAACTGCTCTCGCTTCTTCGCCTCCTCGCGGTCTTTGTCGGCCACGTCCACGTAGTCCGACAGCCCGAAGAGGTCCTCTCCGCACGTGAGGTCCCATTGGGCCGTGCCGCTGAGGAGGTCCTCCAGCCGCACCATGGGCGCCTTCGCCTCTGCCACAGGAGTGACTTCAGCGTGGAGCTCACGGATGGCCTCCTTGTAGATCGCCTCCTGCTGCTCGATTTGGCCCAGCAGGGACGCGACCGTGCCCTCCTGCTTGGTGACCTGCTGCTGCAAGCCTTCCAAGACGCCCGACTCCTTGGCCAGGTCGTTCTCGAGCTGCTTGATTGTCTTGTGAGCCTGGTCCGCCCGCACTTGTGGCGACACCAGCTGCTTGTCACGGATGGCCAGCACCTGCTGGTAGTACTCGACCATGCCACTGTTGTTGCTCTTCTCCCCGAGGGACACGAGCTGCTTGATCTCTGCCACTGACAGCTCTGGGACGGGGTCAACTGCACCTTGAAGCCCGACTGGACGAGGTGCGCTGCCATGGCCACCGCCAGCACCAGGACTAAAGAGGCCTGGAGGAGGCTCCACGTCCTTGCCCTTGCCCTTGGTCTTCTTGGGCTTGCCCGTCTTCCAGTGGCGACTGCAATGCTTACACCATGCTTCTGACATTGCCGTTTTTCCGCACCCGCAGTGTGAGCATCTCCAGATCGACGCGTCATGCCAGCCTCCTGCCATCTCGCGTCTTCCAGAGAAGGTGTGAAATTCACTGAGCCTGAACGGAACGTAGTCAGTGTAGGACTCTCACCCTGGGCAGGGCCTCTGATCGAGAGTCGTGCGGGTCCCTCGACCACTTTGAGCCCCGACCCCAGGGAAGGCGAAGGCCCCAGGCAACGGCTTGAGCCAGATGGCTACGGATCTCCTCCTCCTCCTCCTCCTCCTCCTCCTCCTCCTCCTCCTCCTCCTCCTCCTCCTCTCCTCCTCCTCCCCTCCCCCTCCTCCCCCTCCTCCTCCTCCTCCTCCTCCTCCTCCTCCTCCTCCTCCTCCTCCTCCTCCTCCTCCTCCTCCTCCCCCACCTCCTCCGGGCCGCCGCGGATCTCACGGCCGCCACCTCGACCGGCCTGCTCCTGTGGCGGCCGTGCCGGCGTCTGGCCGCTGCACCTCCGAGGAGGCAGAGCAGCTCAGCAGTGGTTCGCCGGCCCCCCCCCCGCCGAACGCCCCTCACACGTCGACGGGCGCCGGCGGGGGCCGTGCCGCTGCTCAGTGCACGGGGCGCCCACGGCCGCAGAGGCGGAATCGTGGCCCACAGCAGCCCCAGCTCGACAGGAAGCTGGCCCTCTGGCGGCGGCGCAGCAGGGGATGGGGCCCAGGGCGAGGGCTGTGGCCTGCCAGAGAGGGCAAGGGATGGCTCAATGTGCCGGAGGTCAGGACACAGCTGTGGCTGCTGGCCGCCCTCTGAGGAGCCGCCAAAGCGGACCTCCGGCAACTAGTGGTTTGCAGGAGGCCCTCCCCGGCCGGACCACTGGGCCGCCGCTGGGCCAACTACCGCGCCTGCTGCGTCAGGCTCTCGTGCGCGACCCTGGGGGCCCCGCGCAGAAGCCAGCTGCACGCATCCGCACGCAAAGCGAAGGCTCGCGGCACTCGGCCCTCCTTCCTCTCCGGAGGCCCAGGGTCCAGGAGCCCCACCCCTCCTTTCCTCGGAAGCCCCTCCCCCCCCACCCCCTCGGAGATGCCACCTGCCTCGCCCTGGCCCCCCTTGCGCGCGCAGCCCACCTCTTGACCAGGCCCATCGGGGTTGGCGGCCCGTTGTCCAGCGCACTCTCGAGAGCCCTGACCACGTGCTGCCACTGGGCGGCCCGCCAGGTCGACCCCGACTGCGGCCCTGCACGCCCAGAGCGCTCAGACTTCACGCTCTCCAGCTGCTGCGCCAGGAGCTCGTCCTCCTCGGCGAGCAGCGTGAGCGCTGGCTCGTCCTCGAACTCCTGGGAGTTGCTCATGTGGTACCTGATGGGGGTTCCGAAGCGGTGTGATCACAGACCTTGCGGTAACCTCGGAGCCCCGATTGACCTCGCTGCATGGTCCTTCGACCCCACGGCTTTGGGACCTCAGCGGCCTCAGTCGCCTGAGACCTCCGCGGAAGACGACCCAAGCCCCGAAGCCGTGCGGCCACTCCGGATCCCCACTGACTAAGCACATCCCTCAAGAACACGAGACCCTCCGTCGGCCAAAGCACACACACAACATCCAACGGTACCCTCCCCGGGGTGCACCAGAATACCCAACGAACGCGAAGAACACTAGGGTACCCTCCTCGAACCGACCTCGATCTTGTTCCTCGGTCCGACTGCAACTACCTGCCGCCGCCCTCGCCCGTTCTCAAGGCCGCTCTCCTCCCTCAAGGCACCACGTGGGACGCGCTGCGGCCAGCGTCTCGAGGCGGACCTGGCCGTGGCGGCCAGGGCAGCCCGAGAGGCCCAGGGAGGACCAACAACGCACAGCAGCTCTCCCGTCTGGCGCTGCAGCGCTTTCGTGGCGTCGGCTCCTGGGAATCTCCACCGACTTCCCCCGGTCCGGAGTTCCATCCCGAGCCAGCTTTTGACTGTCCCGGGGCCGGAAAGCAGCCTCGGCCGGCAGCGACGAAAAACCGGCCGTCGCTGCTTTTTCGGCGGCGACCAGGGCTGAGGTCGAGCCTCGCTTCTGGATCCTCCTCGACCATCTCCCCCTCGAGAGGTACTGACAAGTGCGCCTCGGCAGGTCGTCGTCACTGTCATCGGGCGCTCTGGGGGTGTCGGAGATCTGCTCCGCAACCGACGCCGGGAGACCCCTGCTGTGGCCGCCGCCCTCCGCGACGCCGAGAGACCCTCACGACAGCAGCTGGTCTAGTCCCCCCCTCCCCTCCCGCTCCGCCCTTGCCGGATGGACAGCGGCGCAGCAGCTTCACGTCGCGATGACGTCTGCGTTGGTTTCCTGGGTTGCCTGACCTCGCGCGTCGCGCCACGCGGTGCGCGGCGCGGTGTTGACTTCGCGCCCTCGTGAAGCCACCTCTGAGAAGAGCAACTGGCCAGCCCAGGCCGCGATGCGCGAGGCGCGGGCATCTTCGCACCTCTGCGGGGGCATAAGTCTGTGACACCGAGTGGGTCGCTGAATCATGGGGCGAGCGCAGCTTTTTCATAGCGTGCAGATTGCGCGACATCGGCCGACTCCAAACCGCTGGCGGCGTTCAACTCTGAACGCCCGCGCCGGGGTCCGATTCCAGGCCACCGGCAGCATTCAACTTTGAACGCCCGCGCTGAGGTCAGAGCTGCACCAACACGGCGCGCGAACCAACCGTATTATAGGATAACGTCCTCTGCGGTTGGGGATTGGGCTTGTCCATGGGCGGCTGGAAGGTTCCTCTCTGGGACCCCGCGGCATATAACCAGAAAGTCGTGAGGAGAGGGGGGATTGGTGTGCGTAGGGAGGGTGTCTCAAATGATCGATGCCTCATCACCAGGCTGCAAGCCTGCTCCCTCCTCCATCCACAGCACAGGCACACAGTGCACCGTGCTCAGCAGCTCCACAGCAGAGATGGCTGCGTCGCTCTCTTTCAGCGAGGGGTCGGCCACGATGAACTCCACGTTGTCCATCAGGGAGACGGACCCATGAATCTGGGCCTCTTTGTACCTTCCAAGGATGCGCGAGTCGGCGCCGCGGACGCTCCGTGTGCCCACCTTCATAGTAGCATACAGCTCATCGTCCGTGTACTGCTCGAGAACATGCGCGTAGCCCGCCAGCCCCTTCAGAGCCAACATGCGTAAATGTTCCTGTTCCCTACAGCAATTCTGGTTCACAATGTTGTTGTTATAGATGTCCGTTATTCCAGCTCCAATGTCGTAATATCTATGGGGGTTGCTTTGAGACGCGCAGAATACGACAGAATCGCGTTCCCGAGGCCGCACTACTGGTAAGCTACCAAGATCGAGCTACCCAAGCCACAACGGATTCGCGCCCCCGAGGACACAACATCTCCAATCCATCCAGCTAGAACTGCGTTCCCGAAGTCACAATTCCCGGGGGAATTACAACGCCTTCGCGCTTCTGAGGCCACAACGCCTAGTAAATTATGCTACAGTGGAGGCCAATCCACAAGAAACCTTCCACAAGAAACCCAACCCGGAGACCCCAGGAAGTCCACTGATTGTTGGTGTGGGAACGTCACGCCGTCCCTAGAACAAACAATCGAAACCTTAGAAACCCAGAGAGAACCCTGGAGGCAAGCAAGGTGTTTCTTGGCATCGGATTCCGCTGTATATTCGTGCCCTCCAGGCTAGAACCCATTGCACAGTGCTGCAGTTTCGCACTCCCGAGGGTCCACGAAGCCAACCCCACGGAGGCTGCCCCCAAAGTCCTCCTCCTCCTCCTCCTCCTCCTCCTCCTCCTCTTCCTCCTCCTTCTCCTCCTCCCCCTCCCCCGTCCCCCCTCCTCCTCCTCCTCCTCCTCCTCCTCCTCCTCCTTCTGATCCTCCTCCTCCTCCCCCCCGCCCTCTCCAGTGCCGAAAAACTGCGGTCGGAGCCCGACCACAAGGAACCTTACACCAGAAACCCAATCCTGAGACCCCAAGGCGTCCATCGATTTTCGGTGTGGGAGCGTCCCGCTTTCCATGGCAGAGCTATCGAACCCCACGAAGCCCAGGGCACCCTGGAGGCCATGGGTTTCCACTGTATCACTTCCTGTCGCGGGACACGCGTTCGGGAAGCGCTCTCTGGCCCCCTGGGCACTGGGCACTCCCGGAGCTTCTGCCCTGGGCCCCCGGCCACGAAGCCATCATGATGGCAAAGGACGCGCGCTCCCGAAGCCGCGAATCCCGGCAAATCACAGCGGAGGCGCGCGCCCGAGGCAGCCCTCTCCCACAGCTTCTTGCAGATGCCCGCGACCAGCCAGCCAGCAGCCAGCCCAAACCAACAGCCAACCACCTCTGCAGGCAATGGGCAATCCAATCAACCAAACAACCGACAAGCCAACAAACTAGTCAACCTACGACCAAATAATCGACAGCCGACACCAATCAACCAACAACCGCCGATCCAATCATTCAACCAACCTCTTCAAACAACTGAATTGCCAACCAATCAACCGACAAACCAACAAACTAACTTACGGAATAAGCGTAGCCATGTGAGCAATCAGAGGGTGGGCCGGCGCCAGAGAGCGAAGCCCTTCCGATAGTCCACCGTTGCGAGGTCCTCCGCGCTCATCGCGGCGCTGTCCTCGGCAGAGAAAGTGGTTCTCAGCCGCGTCCCTCTCAGTTGGAGGTAGCTGGAGCCGTACTGCTTGCAGGCGCGCACGCCCCTGGGGTCGTTCGTCGCGTTGAGGACGCCGTATTTGCACCTTTCACCTTGATGGGCCCATATTCCACCACCGCTACCATAGGTAAGAAATGGCGGGGGAGGAGGAGGAGGAGGAGAAGGAGGATAAGGAGGAGGAGGAGGAGCTCCTCATCCTCCCTTCTCCCCCGTCCTAATATGGTAGCGGTGGTGGACAATTTGCCCATCACACCTAACGGAGCGTCCTCGTAAGCGTTCCCAAACAGGTCGGCCTCCCAGCCGGCCCGCCTCCAGGTGTCCAGCGTGCCGCTGGAGGTGCTCGTCTCGAACTGGCTCCTGTAGTGCGTGTCGTCGGCCAGCAGCGCGGCAACCTTACCCAGGTCAACGTGGACGAGTCGGGAAGACGGAGGACTCGAACAATCGGGGGACTCGGGTTGGCCAAACGGGGCCATGAGCGAAAAGGACGAAGCCCGATCTGAAATCCGACGCGACCTCCCCCTGCAGGCGTCCCGCGACGACCGAACCGCCCAAATCCAGGACGCGCTCGTCCAAAAACGATGGCAAATCCGAGTTCCGACTTCCTCGAGTCTTGCGGTTCCCCGAATGAGGATGGGTGCCTCGTCGCGGATCCAAGCCAGTGTTGTGTCCAAGTCATGCTCACCGAAACCAAGCTTACTGACACGCTCGGCAAGCCTCACCCGGGCGGCCTCGTGCAGTGGGCGGCACATCCGACGAATGTGCCGTAGCGCCCGCCGCTGGCTCTGGGTCAGACTCTCCAGGTCGTCGGTCTCCAGCGTCGGCGCTCTCCCGGCGTATCCGCTGCCAGAGGGCAACGCAACAACGAACGAGCGCTGTGGACCCATGGGTCCTGCTGAATGCGTGGAGCGCCGGGGAGCACCTGAGCCGTGGTCGCACCAGGCCACCCTAAGACGGCCACGAGGCCCAGGAACCAACCACACATACTTCCAGGAGCGACAGGACATTCACACAGCAAGCCAAATCGGCGAACCACCTGCCTCGCCAAACTCCCCTCGACATCTGAAGGGTCTGCGTGGCTGTTCCTGGCCTCCTGGCCCCTGCCCAGACATCCTCCGCCGCGTGCTTTTCAGAGCGTGCCTCCCCAAAGGCCTGCACCCCTCCCCCCGGACCAGCTCCTTGCCTGGAGTCTTTCCTACGACGGCCCCGGGGCCCGGCGAGGCCCCCCTGGCCGAACGCGGCCTAACCCCTCCCCCCGCCGAGATGGCCGCCACGACGAGAGGAGGCGGGTGTTCATGAAGAGGAGAAGACGCCATGAACATAAACTTTTGGCGCTGCGCGCGGACCTCGTGGATCTGCGCCGGACCCCCTTCCCTGGCGCGCGGAGCGCGCCAAGGGCAGCGCTGGAGGCGCCGCTGGGGGGCCCAGCGCGGATCCAAGAGATCCGCGCGGAGCGCCAATAGTTTACGTTGAAGTAGGAGACCTGGACATGAGCACCTACACCAACACAGGGGGTTGCCTCAACCGGGGAAAGGTGATCCTGGATGGCGGTGTTGGTGATATCTTTTGCGGCCGCCCAAGAAGCCCGAACATTGCCACCATCGCCGAGATCGGAGTCATGCTCCCTCGGTGGAAACATATCGCCGATATTGGTGTTGGTGTCAACCTTCAGATCTCCGGTTCTGGCTTTTTTTCTCCCCTTCGAAATCAGGGCGGCCCGCGCGGCGCTGACCTGGCTGCGCCACCGAGCGGCGGGGCGGGACATCCGCCCTGGAGCCTACCGCCTCCCCCGTGCTGGAGCACCCCTGCTCCTGCTTCGGCGGCAACGCATGGGAACCTTGCGCTCTTGCGAACCGACGCTCATCGACCCCAGCCGGCGCTAATCGACGGCGCGTCGACGCGAAATCGACGCGAAATCGGCACTGTCTCATCGACTCCCAGACGCTAGTCGACGCCAGAAACGCAACTCGGCGGCGAGCGAGGGGGGAAGTGAGAAGGAGAAGGCCTTCTCAGAAGGTTCGGAAATCCCCCGGCCTTCTGAGAAGTGTTTGAAGCCTTCCCCGACGACAGACACGCCTTCTCGGAAGGCGCGAGGGCTTCTGAGCAGCCCCGCCGCCGTCTGAGAAGGCCTTCTCCTTCTCTCGGGAGCGGCCAAGAGGGGGGTGTCCAAGAGGGGGGGGTGCAAATCATGACCGGCGGCATGTGCGCGGCCCAGCGGGGAGGCCAGGTACGCAATGAAATAAGAAGAGGCGGCATGAAATCTGGAGAAATCCCCCCTGCCGCCCCCATTGCGAAAGCGTGGAGTTTCTCGAAATACCCAATGCACCATGGGGGGCATTATGAGGAAACGCCTCTGGAGCCACCTCCCCCCGCCATGATATCCACCCCCCCCCAGTCATCACCCCCCTCTTTGCCGCCCCCGATTCTCGTCTCCCCCCCTTTGCTCGCCGCCGAGTGGCGCAAGAGGGTACACCATGGCTCCCAGCGACAGACACGACTCCTCGGAGGGCGCGAGGGCTTCTGAGCAGCCCCGCCGCCGTCTGAGAAGGCCTCCTCCTTCTCGTCTCCCCCCCCTTTGCTCGCCGCCGAGCTGCGCAAGAGGGCATGCCAGGCTCCCGTGACTTGCCACCGGATCCTGCGGCGAGGCGGCCTCTGGCGCCGGGCCTGGCGCTGGGCGGGGCCTGCCGGCCCTGGCGGCCGCCACGGCGTCCGCGAGCCTCGCGCGCACGGCGGCCAGGCGGATGGGCCGGGTGCTGCCAAGAAGGCGTCCCTGGGCAAAGGTTCCCCAAGGCTTTCCCAGGCCCCCTCGCGCTGTGAGAGAAGCACGGCGGGTTTTTGTTCCCCCGTTTTCGGCCTCCGGTGGCCCTTCCCGGGCCTCGGGGCCGTCGCAAAACAACTCGGGACGAAAAACCGGCACCGGGAAAAGGGTCGGGACTTCCAGGGACCCCATATTGAACAAATCAGGACGTCGCATGTTTGTATGACCCAGGGTCGAGGGTTCACGGGCCCCCCCCCACCCCCCAGATGGTATGGTCCCAGGATTCCTCGGCGCCCTCCCCGCCCCCAGATGGTATGGTCCCAGAGACAACGACGACGACCACGACGACGACGACGACGGCGACGACGACGACGACGGCGACGACTACGACGACGGCGACGACGACGACGACCACGACGACGACGACGACGGCTGCGGCGGCGACGACGCCGGCGGCGGCGGCGGCGACGACGACGATGACGACGATGACGACGGCGACGACGACGATGACGACGACGACGACGACGACGACGACGACGACGACGACGAGGACGACGAGGACGACGAGGACGACGAGGACGACGACGACGACGACGACGACGACTCTGAACCACCACAGCACCACACCACATCCACAGGGGGGGGAGGGGGGCACCGCAGCGCAGCACCACGCCACGCCCACTTCTGAACCACCACAGCACCACACCACATCCACAGGGGGGGGGGGGGGCACCGCAGCGCAGCACCACGCCACGCCCACAGGGGGGGGCGGGGGGGATCCATCGCGCGGGGGGGGGGGGCCCAATGGCATCAGCATTGGGGGGGGGGAGGGGGGGGGGGGGGCCAAGCCCTGGACCATGTATACCACACCCTTCCCGCCCCAGTCAGATCCCACTGCCCAGGGCAACCTTCGGTCTACACAAAAGCCACGCCCCAGGGAGGGATTTGTTGTATACCAGGCCCACGACCAGGACCCTCGCACGACCCCCCAGGGCACTTGGGTATAGTCTACGAATGCCTTGGGCGGAGAGGTGTCCTCGCCTCTTCTCGTTGTGGGGAACCACGGCTGCAAACTTTCGGCAGCTTCCGGCCTCCAGGCAGAGCCCTCGCGGAGCCTCGGGGCCGCGAACAGCAACGGCCCAGGACGAAAAACCCGGGCCTGGGAGAGGGGCCCAGACCTCTGGGGGGTCGACGTCTTGAAACATAGCGACGTCGGAGGGTGCCTCCAAGTCCTCGAGAACACCCCTCACGAAGCCAAGAGGGCCCCAGGGGCTCCGAAACGGCATGAAGAGCAGGGAACACCGTGGGCCAGGGACACCTCTGGCAACACCCGGATGGAGCTCAGGCTCAAGGAGTTCACCAAGCTGTCGTTGGACACGTGCCTGGGGGCGAGATCTGGCGTCGCGCAAAGGGGAGGGGCACCCTCTTCGAAGGCGTGGAACTCATAGATTTCAGCGGGCAATCTCCTCAAGAGGCCTCCTGTTATCTTAAAACACCGCCTCTTCGTCATGCCCGTGTTGGCGCGTCGTCGAAGAACGGACACACACACACACACAAATAGTGGAACAACAATTGCATACCTCCGCGTATGCTTGGCGGTCTCCTTGGTCTCCTCTAGCACTTCTCCTAAGCCCCTAACTCAACACCGTTGCCCCGAACAAGCTTGCAAGACAAATGAATGCTTCTGCGCCCTGGCCACATACATGCTGCTGCGCTCCAGCCGCATACATCCTGGTGCGCCCCGCCACATAAACCGATCGTCTTTGGAGAAGGCGCGGGGAGGCTGCAGAAGCGGGAGGCCGCTCGCGAGCCCGAAACAAAACAGCAATTCGAAAGCAATCGCAATCACACTCGCTCGCTCTTGGAGAGCGCCCCCCGTCGCCCCTGTAAGATTCGAATCACGGGACCCCCTGCGGGGGGTGCCTTTGGTCCATCAGCTCCAATAATTCTGCCAGGGACAGCGGGTGGAGCCTAGCTGGGGGCGCTTCGCCCGAGACGTCAGCAAACACTTGCCTGGTCTGGTCCTTGGCTTGGCCTCTGGCTTGGCTGGGCGCCCGACCCCGCCCGAGGCATGCCCAGATTCTGCTTGGCCGGTCCCCTGGCTGGGCTTGGCTCGAGCCAGTTTCGCCTGAGCCGCCTTCACCATTTGCTTGGTACGACTTGGCGTCGGCGCGGTTTCGCCTGAGACGTCCTCACCAGTGGCCTGGCTTGGCCTGGCTTCGGCGCGGTTCTGCCTGAGACGTCCTCGCACTTTGCCTGGTTCGGCTCGGTTCCAGCGCGGTTTCGCCTGAGACGTCCTCACAATTTGTTTGGTTTCGTTTGGTTCTGGAGCGGTTGTGCCTGAGGCGTGCTCAGGATTTTTCGGGGTTGGCCTCATTTGGGTGCGGTTTCGCTTGAGACGTCCTCGTGATTTGCATGCTTTGGCCGCGGTTTTGCATGACACACCATCACGAATTTATCGATGTGTTACGAATTGGAGTGGGATTCGTATAAAGCGTTTTCTTATCTTGCCTGATCTGACATGGTTCGGGCGGTACGATGCGGTGTAACGTATGTGGTGCTAGCTACGTGGCTCCAGTCATGTGGCGCAAGCTACGTGGTGCAACGCGCATCGTCGCAAGCTATGTGGTGTAAGGTAGTGCCGAGTACGTGATGGAAGCTACGTGGAATCTCCTTGGTGCAACACATACAGTGGAACCTGCGTGGTGCAATCGGCGTGGTGCAAGCCCATATCTTCTCGCGGCGTTCGCCCGGTGTCCAGCGTTCGGAAAAAAATCTCCAGAGCCTGATCCGCCTCGGGAATTCTTTCCAACCTCAGTACCGCTGCCTAGAGAGCACTCGCAAGACGATTGCATGTTGTTGCGCCCCGGCCACATGCATGCTGCTGCTTCCCAGCCGCATGCATCTTGGCGTGGCCCAGC